AAAAATCAAGGAATCCATCTTAATTGAACAAAACAACCCTACTCTAAACCAACACCCCGGAGTGTCTAGATACTTCTTCTAAGTTTCACAACAGTTCCGGTCATGTGACTTTTTTGTTCAATACTGTATATACATATATCCATGTCAGTGTAAATTACTTGTACCCAATGACGACAAAACCTTGTCGAAACATTGTACATTTGCTGTTATGTTAAACTTATATTAAAGTTTTTCTTCATTACCCATTCAAGCTGTCTCCAGCCATTATATGTATTCACAATGTTATCTACATAGCATTTGTGTGAAAAGCTGAAAAAGTTTCTTAATACACACACACCATCATTGTTTTAAAGCCTGCTTAGGACCTTATGAGCCAAAAAGGTTTTATTTTTGGCATCATATCATTTATAATATTTTATCCACATAGTTTTATTCACTCTAATTATCATTTTTGTTTGTGGTATGATTTATAGATGTTATCAGATGCATGTGTCCACACACAGATTTACTCTTTGTATTTGTCATATTCTTGTATTTACCTTCTTTATTACATGCTTAGCATACTTGTTTCCTAAATTTTAGCCCACTACTCAGAAATTAGTTATTGATATTTTATTTTTATAGAAATTACTTTTATTAAATATTCTTTTGTTTTGTGTCTAAATTTGTTGCATTTACCTAATGTATAAGTGTCTGTTTTCATACTGTTCATTCTTATATTTTAGTTTGACACAACACTATCATTTTGACAGTAGTCACATGTTCATGATCATATTTGTTAATTTAGGTAATTATTTTTGTGGTGTCAAACAATATCTGTGTAAAAACTATTGTATTATAGCTTTAGTCAATATGAAGGGTTCTTAACAGAAACATCAGGTATAATAGATTTATTATAATTTTGTGTTTAATTCATTTTTGTTTTTGCAGTGCTGTCAGAAGCATGCTGTCATTTATATTATTATGAGATACTGATATCTAAAATGTGCTCTGATTGTTTTGAATCATTAAATAGATCCAGAGTTGTTATGAACTACTGAATGATATCAGAAGTATTCTGTTATTGTTATGATTGAAACAGTGGTATCAATAGTGCAGTGGTGGGATTCAAATATTTTAACAACAGGTTCTCTCACTAGCAGCATGCCATGTTGACCCGATAGAGACCAAAGATTATATGTAAAATATATTTATATTATATTATATGTAATATATACAATTTGTATTACTTTTAATCTAGTCTATTTCATAAAAAGCGTTTACTGACACTTATTAGTATGTTTATTTAATTATTTTTTTATATTTTGCTGTATATTTAAGTAACAATAATGATAGAAAATATAAGTTATAAAAGTTTATACATCTGCTCCCCTTTATTGATAATATTTACTATGTAGTTTATTGGATTTTTAACCATAGTAGGTCTGTTATTTGTTGTTATTATTATTATTATTACTGATATTACATATCACTGTTAATAAGTTTCAACTATGATTTTGTGAACACTTTAGTTTTCTAAGGAAAAAATAAATATATTATACTTTATTTAGATGTGTTTGAATGTTTCGTTTTCA